AGGAGAAAGATGAGGCTTTCTGTTCCCATAAAGATTTACAGCCTCAGAAACCCTGTACAGGGTTGCTATAAGTCAGAACCGACTCCATGGCACATAACCACCACTATGGGCAAAGGGACCCCTGGTGTGGCACTGTGGGTTAATGTGCCAGACTGCAAAGCTGTTCAAGCTCACTAACTGCTCCTCAGAAACCCTAAACAGGGTGACTATGGGTCGGAACCAACTTGACAGCACTTCACAACAACAACAATGGGCAAAGAGCCTCAACCAGTTCAAGCTCTGACCCAAGCCATGAGGGATATTGGAGGTTAGAAGTCACAAGTATAAGCAACAACTTTGCAGCCAGTTACAAAAACAAGGAGTAGAAACTCTACAGAAATTCCCAGTCTTTCTGGATAGAAATTTACTGTCTTCCTAACCTTAATTGATTTTGTCTAGTCTTTAGTTTTCTTTTCTCCTGCTATTAAAACAAACAAACATGAAACTCACTTCCATCTAGTCGATTCTGACTCATTGTGACCCTATAGGGCAGGTTAGAACTGGCCCCATAGGGTTTCTGAGGTTGTAAATCTTTATGGAAGCAGCCTGCCTCATCTTTCTTCCACAGAGCAATTGTGGATTCAAACCACCAACCTTGCAATTAGCAACCTATACCTAGCACAGTGTGCAGTCAGGACTTTTTTCTCCTCTAGAGTTAAATTCTCAGTAAGTTTGTGGACTGCAGAATATCAGAGGTTAACCACAGGGCTGCTGAAGAATGCTCATCATCTAGAAATCTGTGCTCAGAAACAATGCCTCCCTTTTACTGACCCTGGAGGCTGTGGCAAGACAATTCTCTAAGTGGTATCCCTTAAGGAGGGAAGAAAACATATAAGAGATGCTTGAATAATGTTAGGGGATGGCATTTGTGGAACTGAATATATAGGAGAAAGGAGTTGATGTATGCTAGTAGGGTAGCATAACAAACTATAGATAACACTGCAAAGAATGGGTATTCCAGACACTTAATTGGGTCCATAAGGAACCTGTACATAGACCAAGAGGCAGTCTTTCAAACAGGACAAGTGGATACTGGTTGTAGCCTTTTACTATACTTATTCAATCTGTATGCTGAGCAAATAACCCAAGAAGCTGGATTGTATGAAAAAGAATGTGGCATTAGAAAAAGAATGTGGGAGACTCATTAACAACCTGTGATATGCAGATAGTATAACCTTGCTGATGATTGAAATACTTACTGATGAAGATCAAAGACGACAGCCTTCAGTATGGATTACACCTCAAAGTAAAGAACACAAAAATCCCCATAATTGGACAAATAAATATCATTTTGCTTGGATACACAATCAATGATCATGGAAGCACTACTCAAGAAATCAAACGGCGTATTCCTTTGGGCAAATCTGCTGCTAAAGACTTCTTTAAAGTGCTGAAGAATAAAGATGTTTCTTTGTGTGCGCTAAAATTGTGCATGACTGGCAAATGCAGAACAGTGTACATACTTTCATTCTCTACATCCACAGGAGACAGCTGGTGAGAGACTAATAATACATCAACATAAATCATCAATTAAATACTAACACAGTGACACCACATTGTCCCAGAGACAGCAGACAATTTTAGCTCTCACACAAAAAATGAGAGATATAGAAGTGTTTAAAGTAAAATGAACTTATAAAACCGAATATAGCGAACCAGAGGTACCAGTTTATAATGAAGACAACTACAAAGGAAAATGAGGAAATAGAATAGATACAGAATTTCCAAATGGCAAAGAAGTCAAACAGATTTCAAGATAAACCAGACTGTTTTAAAGGGGGGAAATTAATAAGTTACATGGTAACTTCAAAGAAAATAAAAAAGAGGAAAATCTTACTTAGTAGACATTAATACAACAGAAATAAAGAAAACCCACAAACAAAATGAATTCCACGCATAAAATTTTAGAACAAAGAAACCAGTTGCATCCCCAAAAGAAATACACATAGCAAAATCACAGCAATAAATCCATACCTACCAATATATACACTAAATTTAAATGGTTTAAATGCACTAATCAAGAGACCAAGAGTAGTGGAATGAATAAGAAAACAGGATCCTTCAATATGCTGTTTACAAGAGACACATCTTACACACAAAGACAGAAAACAACTAAAAATCAAAGGATGGAAAAAAATGTATTAAGCTAATGATAATAAAAAATGGGCAGAAGTGGCAATTTTAGTCCCTGATAAAAAAGAATTTAAGGCAAAAATACAGCATAAGAGACAAAGAAGCACATTATATCATAATTAAAAGAAGCATGTAACGATAATAAATATCTATGTCCCCAATGAAAGAGACTCAAAATATGTAAATCAGATTCTAATAGAACTTAAGAAAGAAACAGACAACTCTACAACAATAGTATGAGATTTTAATACACCACTTTTGATGAAGAACATAACTTCTAGGAAGAAACTCAGTGAAGACATAGAAAACTAAACAACACAATCAACCAACTTGATGTCATAGACATACACAGCACTCACTCCAACAGCACAATATACATTCTTCCATTCTTTTCATGGAATATTCTCCAGAATAGACCATATGTTAGGCCAGAAAGCAAACTTTAATACAATTTAAAATATACTACATAGCATCTTTTCAGATAATAATGCTATAAAATTAGCAATCAACAATAGGATGATCAAGAAAAAAAATCATATGCATGGAAATTGAACAATACCCTGCTTAAAAGCTACTACAGGGTAATGATCAAATAAAACATGAAATAGAAAAAATTCCTTGAGTCAAATGAGAATGAGAGCACAACTTACCAAAACCTTTAGCACACAGCAAAAGCAGTGCTCAGAGGCAATTTATAGAAACAAACACACACATCCAAAAAGAAAATAAAACCAAAATCAACACCTTAACTAAACATCTCCAACAGCAGTAAAAGAGAAATAAAGTGAGCCTACTGCCACCAGAAGAAAAGAAATAATAAAGATTAAAACAGAAATAAATGAAATAGAAAACAGAAACCAATAGAAAGAATCAACAAAACAAAAAGTTGGTTCTTTGAGAGGATTAATAAAATCAACAAACCATTGGCAAATCTTAACAACAGAGGAAAAAAGATATAAAAACAACACAAATAACAAATGATATGGGTGACAGAACCAAAAGAAATAAAAAGGTTTAATAACAAAATATAATGAAGAATTGTACTCCAACAAATTTGAAAACCTAGAACTGGACAAATTTCTAGAAACATAACCTATCTAAACTAACACAGACTTAAGTAGAAATTTTGAACAGGCCTATAACATGAGAAGAAATTGATCAAGTCATGATCAAGTACAGGCCCAGATGTCTTTACTGGTGAATTTTACCAAACATTCAGAGAAGAGTTGTCATTAATTTTTCAAATTATTCCATAATATAGAAAAGGATGAAATTTTTCCAAATTCATTTTATGAAGCAAACATAATTCTGATAACCAAACTATGCAAAGACATCATTGAAACAGAAGAGTGTAGACCAATATCCCTCATGAAAGTAAGTGCAAAAATTCCCAACAAAATCCTAGCAAACAGACTCCAACAATATATCAAAAAAATAATATATCATGACCCAGTGGGATTCATACCAGGTATGCAGGGATGGTTCAATATTATAAAAACAATCAACTTAATCCACCACATAAATAAAACAAAAGAATACAATCATATGATCACATCAATTGATGCAGAAAAGGCATTTGACAAAATACAACACTCATTCCTTATAAAACCACTCAATAAAATAGGAATGGAAGGGAAATTCCTTAACATAATTAAGGGCATATATATAAAAGTCCTGGTGTGACGTTGTGGATTAATGCACCAGACTGAAAAGCCGTTTGAACTGCAAGGTTGGTGGTTCAAGCTCACCAGCTACTCCTCAGAAACCCTACACAGGGTCGCTATGGGTTGAAACCGACTCGACAGCACTTCACAACACAACATACAAAACAACAGTCAACATCACTCTCAATGGTGAGAAACTGAAGTCATTCCCCTTGCAAACAGGAACCCGACAAGGATTCCCTTTATCACCACTCCTGTTCAATATTGTGCTGGAAGTCTTGGACAGAGTTAACAAGCAAGAAAGGGAAATTAAATGCATATAATTGACAAAGAAGAAGCAAAGCTCTATTTGCAGACAATACAATCCTATACTTGGAAAATCCCAAAGGCTCCAAAAGAAAATTATTGGAACTCATCGATAGAACCGGCAAGGTGACAGACAGGGTGGGTAGAAGACAAACATACAGCAATCAGTTGGGTTCCTTTATGCTAATAAAGAGAGTTCTGAAAAGGAAATCAGAAAATCATTACCATTTATAATAGCCACCCAAAAGATGCAATACTTGAGAATAAACCTACCCAGAGAAACAAAAGACCTATATAAAGAAAATTACAAAGCACTACTACAAGAAACAAAAAAAGACCTGCAGAAATGGCAGAATATACCCTGCTCATGGACAAGAAGACTTAACATTGTGAAAATCTTCAGACAACCCAAAGCAATCTATAGATATAATGCTATCCCAGTCCAGATTTCAACAGTGAGATGGTTGACACAAAGGCTGCAACAGTGAGCTCAAACACAGCAACATTTGTAGGGATGGTGCAGGGTCAGGCACTGTTTCATTGTGTTGTACGTCTGGGTAACTATGAGTCTAAAGTGACTTGATAACACTTAACAACAAGGTCAAATAAGGAGTCCTTTGGTAGTGTAGATGGTTAAACATTCAGCCACTAATCCAAAGGTTCATGGTTCAAATCCTCCAAGAGGCTCCTTGATGAGAAAGCTGGTGGTCTACATCTGAATGATCATAGCCACTGAAAACCCTATGGCACAGTTGTACTCTGCACACGTGGCACCACCATGAGTGGAAACACACTTGTCTGTTTTGTAAAATCAAATAGCACTCGTTGGTGGACAACGAACTAGAAACAGGGTGCATTCCTTGGCAAATCCATATGGAGAAGTGACCTTATATGCTGACATTCTAGGCAGAGGAAGAGCTGGGTGGGGAGCAGATGTGGGCCTGGAGTCTGCAGACTCCAGGGTGCCCCCATTATGCGTGTACAGTGCAAGGGCCCACAGGAAGCACTTACCTCCCCAACATGACGGCCATGGGTCCTGCAAAGAGTGCTCCCAAGAGGCCCCCAAGGGAGTACAGAGACACGATGAGCGACCACACGAGCAGAACCAGGTGGTCGGGCAGTGGCTTGCCAGTCCGGGCCTGCCAGGTCTCATTGGTGAACTTCTGAATGTACTGTGGGCAGAAATGCCGGTCAGTTTTCCAGGGAGAGGGCTCCAGATAGGAGCTGTGCCCCCACTGCATTCAGAGTTTCTACAGAGCAGAGCCCCAGGCTGCTGAGCAGACACACCCCTCTTTGGCAGACACTCAGGGCACTGGACTGACTTCTACATGTGCTAGGTCCCCCTTAACCTGGAGTGTTCCATGCTGGCCTTCTAGGTCTTCCTTGGCCACTTCCCAAGGTCCTGGAAGGTGACCTTGCTGACTGGCTTGATTGGACTTGGCCAACGTGGCACTACAGGTTAATGTGCTAGACTGCAAAGTCGTTTGAACTGCAAGGTTGGCGGTTCAAGCTTACCAGCTGCTCCTTGGAAACCCTATACGGGGTCGCTATGGGTTGAAACCGACTGGACAGCACTTAACAACAACAAAAATGGCAAACTCCAGCAGGATATCCAAAGATGCAGGAGATGAATGAGGAGGATTTGTTCACCTGACTCCCTCCTTGTGAGGTCACCTTGGCCAGGCTGTGACCCAGGCCTGGCCAATCTGAGGGATCTGTCTTCCTGGCCACATGATTGATCTAGGGGCAAGCAGCCAATCAGAGTTTTCTAAAGCAGCCAATCAGAGTTTTCCCTGAGATTTCTGCCAGAGTAAACAGGGAAGACTTGTTTGGGTGACTGGCAAGAAATGAATCTGCTGACAGCAACTTGCTTGCCCATGGGGTAGAGGATGGGTGAGACAGGGAAGACAAGTCACCTGTCCTGACCTGGGGCCTGCAGTTCTGCCACTTTATGCTGTGGGCAACTTAACACCTTTCCCAGATTGTGACTTGAAAACTGAAGCCAGTTATAGTAGGTTTCCATTGCTGTGATCAAAGAGGCAGCCTTTCCATGACATATGGACTCGAGGGCTCAAGATGACTCAGAGACATTCAGCAAAAGGCAAATCAACCCACACATGTCCTTCCATGGTGGTGACCACACAAAGGTTGGAGGAGAGGTATTCCCACTGGGGGAAGGCTTCACAACAGTGCAGGTGTTTGTGGTGGTCTATAGGAGGAGACTTTGAGAAAGCACGGGCCATGAATATCTGTATAACTGCACTTAACTTATGTGGGTGGTGGGGTTGGGACATGACAGTGGGCAACAGGTAGATAGGTGATCCCAAGGAGGCCTGGAATTCAGGTGGGTGAGTCTGTCTATAGAACCAGGGAGTCACTGTGTCTCTGGGCAGTGGAACAGCTAGATCAGACTGAAGGAGTCAAGAAGAGAAGAGGCTGAAGGCAGGGAACCAGTGCTGGGTGGCAAGATGAGGGTGAATGGGGCCATGGCAGAGACAATGGGGGATGACTGCATTCTAAGGGCAGTTAGGGAGGAGTGGCATGTGCAGGAGTGCGTGAAGGATCAAGGTGGCCCTTTAGGCCCCTAGGGGGGCATGTCCCTGGGTGGGTGGTGGAGTTAGCACCCGAATCAGGGACACAGGACACACAGGTTGCTTGGAACCTGCTAGACACCCCAGTGGAGATGGATTTGTGGGCTTCCCCAGTCACAGCTGATGCAGAAGATACATACCAAGGTTGGGGCATTGATGATGGAAAGGTTGTAGCCAAACTGGAAGGTCCCTCCAATGCCAGCGGCACAGATGGCCAGGAGCAGGACCCTGCCCCGAACCTGAGGAGAAGGAATAATACAGCGTGACCAATAACAAACTCTATCTCCCTCCCTGGCCTGGAAACTACAGTTAGCAGTGTGGCAATTGATCTGAACCAAGCAATGATGTCTCCACTGCTAAGACCGAGGCCCAGAGAAGCGAAGGTGTTACCTAGGTCACATGGCTGGCCACAACAGAACCCAGACAGCTGCACTATTCTACCCCCATATCAGGGCTCCACCACTTGAGTCCCAAATCAATTTCCACTTCATCCCCATCACCCTCCACACCACCAATTTTGTGAGATGGAGAGCAGCTCTTCCCTGCCTTGCTTGCTGAGCGGCCCTGGGCAGGGCTACTGTCTTTCAGGAAGACAGATCCCTGCACGAGGGTCCCAGTGGGTAAGCCCTCCTCCTGGTAGCTCAGGAGGGGCTGCATCACCCAGCAGGTCCCTTCAACCTCAGCAAAGACATTCTCCAACAGAGCCTCAGGAGTGTGAACTTCCTTCCTCTGCCACTAGCCTGTTTTCAGTGGGAGCTGTGCAGAAGTTACATGAACCTGCAGAAGCCCTCACCCTGAGTCACTTCCTCACCTGGAGCAGGGATAGTTATGTCTGGAGTGCAATAAAGGCTGGAGGCACATGTGTGCCACAAACACCTGGTACAATGTGGGGCAGCGCTTCATCCTATTATAACCTTCATGAAGACAAAACTCCAGTGCCCTACTAGCCCCTCCCATTCAGTTGATATATATTTGTGTGTGTGTGGCTTCATTACAAAACAACACACTCATTAAATTTGTTTTAATTCAATTTATACACAAATGTTTCCACTCCCTCAAAGGCCCAGAAATGAACTGCTTCCCTCAGATATATTCTTAACACAAAGTATCTGATTTTACAAAAAGAAATCAAATCATTGATCTTTTCCTAAGAAACCATACTGCTTGCAACTATCGACCTCTCCCTGTCCAGAACAAAGGAGAGTTAAGGAAATCATCTCCATGACCTTGAAACCACAAGAACTAGATGGTGCTCAGCTCACACTATCAATTGCTCTAAAAGGGAGCACAGTAAAAAGTCCTGGATAGAGTGAAGAAAAATGTGGGACAAAACTCAGAATTATTAAAAACAAAATACTGAACTTACTTACTCGTGTAACTCCTTAAGAGTATAGTCCTTAGGGACCTTTCAAGTCTGAAAATGAACTCACCCCCATTACTCAATTTTCAGTGAAACAATTGTTATTGTTAAGTGCCATCGAGCAGTTCCGACCCATAGAGACCCTGTATAGGGTTTCCTAGGAGTGACTGGTAAGCTTGAACCACCGACCTTGCATTTTAAACAGCTCTGCAGTCTGGCGCATTAATCCACAGCTCCATACCAGGACTCCAGTGAAACAATAGACAGGTCTATAAAGGGAACAAGGAGCTCTAGTAGCGTAGTGATTACAAGGTGGGCTGCTAACCTCAAGATCAGCAGTTCGAAACTACCAGCTGTTCCATAAGACAAAGATGAGGCTTTCTGGTGTGGCCCTGTGGGTTAATGCGCCAGACTGCAAAGCCATTTGAACTGCAAGGTCAGCGGTTCAAGCTCACCAGCTGCTCCTCAGAAACCCTACACAGGATCACTATGGGTCAGAATCAACTCAACAGCATTTAACAACAACAACATCATCATAGTACTAGGGGGAGTCCTGGTGAGGCATTGTGAGTTAATGCGCCAGACTACAAAGTCGTTTGAACTGCAAGTTCAGCTGTTCAAGTTCACCAGCTGCTCCTTGGAAACCTGTGCAGGGTTGCTATGGGTCGGAACCAACTCGACAGCACTTCACAACAACATAGTACTAGGGAGGTATGCACTTCTAGGATAATTAACTATTTGAGATAAAAGGGGCAGCATTTACCAAAGGACAAAGTTCAGAGGGGTTGGAAAAGGAGGAATGAAAATGGGAAACAGGGAAGACGTAGGATAAATGATGTTACATTGAGGGAATTACAATCAATGTTGTTGTTGTTGTTGTGTGCTGTGGAGTCGGTTCCGACTCATAGCAACCCTGTATAGGGTTTCCAAGGCTGTAAATCTTTATGGGAGCAGAAAGCCTCATCTTTCTCCCATGAAACAGCTGGTAGTTTCGAACTGCTGACCTTGTGGTTCACAGCCGGATTCGTAACCACTACGCTAAACAAAATGTGTGTGAATTGTTAAAATGAACTGGCCTGCTCTGTAAACATTCACCCAATGCACAATAAAGAGTTAAAATACAGAAAAATGGAATTTTCCCACAAACCTTTTGAAGCCCCCTGTATATAATATGTTATCAGTGCTACAAAGAGGAATAAGGTAGGAAGTGTTTGGAGAGATTGGTGCTATATTAAATAGGGGGTCAAGAAAGATAGTTTGAGGTGTCCCATGCACTAAGATGTATGAGTGAGGGAATGTGCCTTGCAGGTAGGCATCTGAGCGACATCAGCCAAGCTGTCAGGAGTGTGTGGTGGGGGGAGACCCAGACATGTACAGTGAGGGTTTTTCTTTCAGCAGTCCTCATTTCCTCTGTTTAGAGCTCAGAGGAAATATAGAGGGGATAAGGGTTGAGGAGAAAAGAGGGGGCAGCAGGTCAGAATTACAGGGCTGAGGGGTGGAAGGGCCTGTGGCCTCTTGGGGCGTCTGGCAGCAATGGAAGCAGGGCACTGCTTGGGATGCTCGCTGGGATTGCCTCTGGTCCTGATATGTGATCCAGTGTGACCTCCTGCAACCTGGCCCTGGGGCACATGCACACTTGATGGAACTCATTTGACCCCAAACCTAATTCCATTACATACATACACATGGCATTTGTGTACATGTAACGTCTTCAACAAACGTTCCTTGTGGCTGTGCCTGTGCCCACAACCCTGCCTCTGAAACACCTGGGTAAGATAGGCGTCACAATTCAGCTCTTTCCAGATCTCAGGCAGGGAAGAGCGCCCGGAAGTTCCTCCAGCGTTCAGAGGCAGAGGGTCGGGGAGAGGTCCGGAGACGCGGGTTGCCAGGCCCTTTGAGTCACCAGTCCGTGAGACCTTTGCCTGGTAGGTGGGGTGCTGGCAGGCAGGGGGCGGGTAATTCTGAGGTTGCTATTGTTGTTAGGAGCTGTGGGGTGGATTCTGTTTCATAGCAAAACCATGCACAATAGAAAGAAACACTGTCTGCACCTCCAACCTCACCATCATTGCTTTGCCTGAGCCCATCGCTGCAAGCACTCTATCTTTCCAGGGAAGACGGTGAATGCAGCGCATGCGCATTGCCGTTGCACTGTGCGTTTGCGGTGAAAAGTCAACTTGCGGAAGTAAATGCGCAAGCGTAATAAATTCTGAGGAAGTTCAATAGAGTGAACCTACGTACTCAACAAGTCATAGCAACTCCAAAGGACAAAGTAGAACTGCACCATAGGGTGTCCAAGGTTATAAATCGATCCAGAAGCAGCCTGCCTCATAATTTTCTCTTGGAGTCGCCTGGCGGGTTCCTATCCCAACCTTTTGGTTAGTAGCCAAATGTTTATCCCACTGCATCACCAAGACCTTCTTACCCAAGTGGACTGGCGGCAGAAACCGTTACGCAAGCGCAGTACCACGCCACGAACAGCTGAGGCGCAGACTCACCGAGTGTTAAAGAGGAGGAGTGGAGGGAAGTAGAGGAACCTGGGTCAAATTACATAGGTCGGTGGTCTGGGCCCCTCCTGTTTGTGCTCCCTCCTGCTTTTTCTGGTTCTCTGAGGCTGAGATATCATTTTACCTGAACCCTGCCTGGCCCCAGCTAGTGACTCAGACTCCGCTTCTGACTCCTTACCCCAAATTCCAACGTCTTATTCATGCACTTCCCTATCCAGCTTACTTGTTCCTGAGAGAAGTCCTTGCCCCCCTCCCCAAGATGGCTTCGCTCTCCGCCCAGGGGAAGGTCGGCTTAGCAGGGACAGAAGGGAGGACCTACCAGTCTCTGGAGTGCTCTCATCGGCGGTCCTGCTGAGAGTCGGTCACTGGGCGGATCTATAAGTGTGAGAAAGCACAGCCTAAACTGGATCTGATTAATCTTTATTTCTCAGGGCTCCTCTAGCCCTGCATGGAATCTAGAAGCCGAACAAAGGCCAAACGGAAACAACTGAGTAACCTTCACCCAGCGCTATGGATCCTTCAGAATACATTGATTGCTCATCCTTGGCTTTTGTCTGATTTTTGCTTGTCTGAACTTTCCATAGTTTATAAAACTACTGTGCATTCTTAAAAATATTTATTTTGGGTGAAAACACAGTTTCTAAAATCATGCATTTAAAAATAATTTGTTTGGGGTGAAATACAAATACATAGCAAATGTATTTCATTTGCTCAACAATTTCTACATGGGCAGGTAAATGACGTTGGTTACACAATGATTAACCATCCTTGATTCACATCCATAAACTACCTATCTGTGCTATAGGGTTGCTGTTATCAATCTGATCTAATACAATTTTTTTCCAAAGTGCAATGCTCAAGACAAGTCGCAAAACTATTAGTTTGACGATGTCTTCAGGGGAGAGTTTCAGTTCAAGGTTCAAAATTTCCTCAGAGCAAAAGATTATTTTGGTTCCTACACCTTCAATGGGTCCAGTAAGTCTGAATTGTATAAAAATGTTGAAATTCTGTTTTACATTTTCTCCCTTTAGATGAAGGACTCATCTGTTGAATGCTTGATCAAAATGTTCAGCCTGGCACCATCTAGTAATTCTGGTCTCATGACATAGTGTGCATGTTTAAAGAATAATACAACAAATAAAGCAGTAGCCACAATCATGAGGTATTTGCATGCTTTTTCAGCATCTATTGAGGTAATTAATATGCTTTTCCTCTAGTATGTTTATGAGATCAATGAAATCAATAAATTTTCTAATGGTAAACTATCCTTGAATTCTTATGCTAATGCTACTATCACATTGTTAATTTCAATTGCTAATATTTAGATTTTTTTTTTTTTAAAGAACCATTGCTTCCTGCCCCCCTTAAAAATGTACAGTGCTTTCTGGAAATTCTGGAAAATTCAGACAAGAAAACCTCAAGTCATGAACAATCGTTCTAGTTGAGGGTCCACTTTAATGTATGTCCAGATGATTTCTTCAGCACACTTTCAGCTCTGTGTTTCTATGACACATCTCCTAGTCATTCTTCTTTTGATTTTTCTAGTCAGCATAGTGGAACTCTGGTGTGGTGCTGCAGGATAAGCACTGGATTGCTAACTGCAAGGTTGCGGTTCAAACCCACCAGCCATTCCTCAGAAACTCTATACAGGGTGACTATGAGGTGGAACTGACTCTACAACACTTAACAACAACAACTACAATAATCACCCTGGCAGCATAGTGGGTTAAATGTTGGACTGCTAATTGCAAGGTTAGCAGTTCAAACCCACCAGCTGCCCTCTTGGGAGAAAGAGGAGGAACTCTGCTCCTGTAAAGATTTACAGTCTTGGAAAACCCTGCACAAGGTTTTGTTTTTGTTTTTTGTAATTGACTCACAAGACCATACAGGTTTCTTATGAGGATTGTTGCTGTTGTTGTTGTTGTTGTTGTTGTTGTTGTGTGTCACGGAGTCAGTTCCGACTCATAGCAACCCTGTACAGGGTTTCCAAGGCTGTAAATCTTTACGGGAGCAGAAAGCCTCTTCTTTCTCTCGCGAAAACCTCTTAAAATAAATCAAAAGATGAAACTTCCATCAATATATCTGATTAGGCAGACACACTACATAGACCCTCTACAACAAAGATATGGGAAACCAAATAAAACGGACACAGATGATAATCCTGGAATTATGAACTTCAGAGGAAAGGTTAGTGGATTGAATGCTTACTAGGAGATGAAGCTGAGCAAGGTTGGTGAAAGAAGGAGACTGTCTGGTGAAGAGACGTCCAGCAGATGCGGTGCAACTAACATGAACTTTCGTGAGCAACTTTGAAGACAAAGCGGCCTGGCAGCGCAGATTCACACTGGAGACAAAAGGGTTCAGTTCCTTCTTGTTCCTACATTCCCCTAAAAACCAGAAGTGTAGTCAGTCCCCACCATCATCTAGCCCCACATAGACTCTGTTCACAGGGAGTTCAGAGCCACGTGGTTGTGAGTCACACTAGTGTGAGGTAAGTGCCAGCAGCACTGTTTTGATGCCTGGCTCTGCTCCAGACCTACAAAACCCACAGAGCCTTCAGAACAGCATTAGACTAGCAGGAACCCTCGTAACCAGCCACCTACCCACAGTTACCCTCTGGTCTTGACAGACATTGACACCAACAATGTTAAGGGTCTCCACAAACTACTTACAGATTGGATGCCCTGAACCTAGGCCTACAGGAACTTCATCTATGGCTGGAAATTCAGCTGTCAATTCCTTCTATACCTACCTTGTGAGCTGTTTGGCTGGCAGGACCCCTCCACTCCCAACCTTGGAGTTTTTCCCTCTGGGGGTGACCAACAACTGTACTAGTTTTTCATTGTTGTTGTTTTCCTTTCATTATTTTTCTTTGTTTATTCTTTCTCTACTTTTTCCTTTCCCTCATCTTGATATTTATTTTTCTATTTACACCTTTGCTTTGCTTTGCTTCTGTTTTCCTTTCTCATCTCCCTCTTCTTTTCTTTGTCTTGATTTTTCTTTACTACTCTCTAGTCTCTTTTCATCATTCATTTCTGTGGGTTTTTTATTGTGTATTTTTTATTCTTATTTTCTCTTGTACAGCTCTATTTTCCTGCCCCTCTTTTCTCTTTTTAGTTATTATGTTCTTTTTTTTCCTTGCTGCTGCCTGTTTTTTGTTTTGTTTTCTTCTTTCCTTTATTATATTCTGGTTTTGCTTTGTATTCTTCTGTGTTTGTGTTTTCTAATCTTGGCTTACATGACAGGAGACATTGACCCTGCCCCTACAGCCCAGCCACAACTGTACTGTCTGCATCTCAACCTACTGGGCAATACCAGCTCCTATACCACCTGATCAACAACAGGTATCAGTCAACATCAGCCAAATCCACCCTAAACTAATCTGCAATTACATTGAACTGAAAACAGTGCACACACTTCCATTTTTGAATCACACCCACCAGGAGACAGTGAGAGTCTAAAAACACACCAACATAAAATGATCAATAAAATACAAATTTTGCCAACACCACAATGTCTTACAGACAACAGACAATTTTAATTCACACCAAGAAACAAGAGAGAGTGCCTCATAAATGACCAAGATACAGAGCCAGAAAATGTTTCTGAGGAAGAAAAGGTAATGGACCTACTTGAGAAAGAATTCTAAAGAATGATATTTAGGTAACTTCAAATGATTGACAGAATGAACAAGCAAAGAAAAGAGAATACAGAAAAACTTTAGAAGAATTCAGGAAAACACTACAAAAAAAAGCAAACAAAGTAAATGCATTTTTTTATTTTATTTTATGGCTACTGTGGGGAGGGGGAGACAGGAGGGAATTATTCACAGGCTAGCTAAAGGGTAGACACATATTAACATGGGTGATGAGGCAGGCAATATACAACTAGAGGAAGGTCGGCAGAAGAAAGATGAAGGCAATAGAAGACACAGGAGGACAAGGGTTAAAGGAAATAGAAGTAAATATTGGCAATGGTACAAGAAGGTGACTTCAATCATTGTAATGAAGCAAAGTATATGTTTTGTTGAATGTAAAATTGAAGATCAGTTCTGTAAACCTTCATTCGATTCACAAAAAAACATTTTTTAAATAATAATAAATGCAAAGTTTGAAACAATACAAAACCTGCAAATAGAGATCCAGAAGATTAATAATAAGATTTCAGAAATGAGCAATACATTGAAAGGACAAAGGAGTAGATTTGAATCAATGGAAGTCCAAATTACTGAACTTGAACATAAATCACTCAATGTTAGTAAGCTAGAAGAACAATCAGAAAAAAGAATGAGAAATTCCAAAGAAAGCCTGAGATTTATATGGAACAACATGAAGAAGAATAATTTACAGGGTGATTGAAATTATAGAACAGAAAGAAACAATAAAAAGCACAGAGAAAATTGTCAAAGAGTTGTTGGAAGAAAACTTCCCTACCATCATGAAAGTTGAGAAGATAAGCATTCAAGAAGCTGAATGAACCCCAAAGGCACACATTCCAAAAGAAGAAAGAACCAAAATCAGCACCTTAACCCAACATCTCCAAGAATTAGAAAAAGAGCAGCAAAGTAAGCCTACCAGAAGAAAAGAAATAATAAAGATTAAATCCCAAAAGAAAGTCACTAAAACATAATCAAACTTGCCAAAACCAAAGACAGGGAAAGAATCCTGAGAGCAGTTTTGGAAAAATGAAAAGCTACCTACAAAGGAGAATAAATAAGACTAAGTTCTGATTCCTTAATAGAAACCATGCAGGAAAGCAGTCAATGGGATGACATAACTTTGAAACTCTGAAAGAAAAAAAAAAGGTCAACCAAGATTCATAAACTCAGCAAACCTATCCCTCAAATATGATGGCAGAATTAGGGTATTTCCAGATAAACAGAAATTAAAGGAATTTGTAATAACCAGACCAACTTTACCAAAAATACTAATGGGTGTTCATTGGACTGAGAACCGACAACAACCTGTGATTAACGTATATGAAAATACCACTCAGAACTCAATCCAAATATTGTTGTTGTTGTGTGCTGTAGAGTCGGTTCTGACTCATAGCAACCCTGTACAGGGTTTCCAAGGCTGTTAATCTTTAAGGGAGCAGAAAGCCTCATCTTTCACCCACGGAACAGCTGGTAGTTTTGAACTGCGGACTCTGAGGTTAGCAGCCCAATTCATAACCACTACACTACCAGAGCTCCTTCAATCTACATATAGTTAAAATGAGATAAAACTACAAAACTGAAAATAGGGAACTGTTGCTGTTAAGTGATGTCAAGTTGGTTATGACTCATAGCGACCCTATATACAACAGAACAAACCACCAGCTAGTCCTATGTCATCTTCA